TCAATCAAAATTATGCTAAACAGCTATCCAGTCCCATTTACAAATTTAATCTCCCTTTGTTGTTTTGCATTTAATGCTTTGCTTAAGAGAACAAGACTGGGGAATCCTTGCAAGCAAATCATATTTATACCTTAACATTCCTTCACCTAACATCACCTAACTGAAGCTTTACTTTTTTAAAATGATTCTTATAGCATTTATGAGGTCCATCATTATTTCCCCTTGGGCACTTACAGCGTTTGTTTTATTATATTCATAAACATAACACTATATATATATATATATATATATATCTTTTTTCCCCATTTCCATTCCAACTCATTTAACATTTTTGTTTTTAATCAGCTTTACTTTTCGGAAGGTGCCTTATTTAACCTTTGTCATTCAGTTCCAAAACTATTTGTTTTTGTTTCCTTCAAAATTGCTTTGCATTTTTTTCTGTCTCTGTTAATTGCCATCATTCTTGATACTACCAAAAAATGATCTATACTGTATTGAAACCTCTCATCATCTTAATATATTTCACTAATTCTACCGCGTTTTTATCATAAACAATTTTTTTTTCAGATTTATATTTGTTCTTTTGTTACAGGCACATATAAAAAGATTTATTAATCATTGTAACTTTGAAAAAAGATCCACTTCTAAGCAAAAATTCACCAACTAATCTTCATTCTCATTCATTCTTACATCACCAAATCTCTTCTATGTTGTCCCCCAGCTTTCAAATTTTTTTCAAAGCAAATGGCTCATTTTTCTTTAACCACCAATCATTGGTGGTTATGAGCCTTAGTGAGCCATATGAGTCTTGGTGGCACAGCAGACTAAAGCACTGTTAAGTAACACCAGCTGCCTGCAATTACTGCAAGTTCAAATCTCACCAGGCTCAAGATTGACTCAGCCTTTCCCTCCTTAAAATGAGGACCTGGTTTGTGGGGGCAATAAGCTGACTTTGTATAAAAAGAACACCGCTTGGGGGGGGGCGAAAGCCCTACTAACATACAATATACTAATGTACATATACAAAAGTATGAAGGCTATTGCTTAACGCATTGTAAGCCGCCCTGAGTCTCCGGAAAAGGGCAGCATATAAATCAAACCAATAAATAAACAATAAATAAATAAATTGGTGGATTATGTGTAACTGTTTATCCCTAAACTGTAGATTTCTGCTTTCATTCATATTCACAATAAGGTTTTTCAATGACCTACACCAAGTCTGACACATTTTTCTTTTCCTAATGTCCACAATTTCCCTACTGTACTTATTTTCTTATCACAATTGTCATATTGCTTTTTAATCCTTGTTTTAGTTTGAGTTCCAGGCATTTTGACCAAGTTACAGAAAATGACAAAAGAAAACTGAAGTGTATGAAAGAACAATGGGACTTAGGAACAACAGGAAGATGGGAACTGTATTCAGATCTGCAGCTAGACAAAAAATAAAAGTTTACTGTGTAATTTGGATCACATTATTTCTTTTCTATTTATCTTTCAAGTTTGTTTTGAGGATCAGTGTTGGGGGAGGAGGGTAAGGGGGTTAACCAACATTGTTCTGAGCTGCTTTACAGAAAAGTATGTATTTTAAAAATATTCTGTTCCTATGTTCCCTATTTAATTCTACTCTACAGCAATGTATTCACCGGAGATAAATTTCTGGTTTGATACTTCTTAAATCATAGCCCAAAGCCAAGATGTTTCAGGAGTTCAATAATTATGTAGCTGGAGCATCGTTTAAAAGGGAGGGATGAAAAAGCTGAATGCTTCTGACCTATTTTGAAAACGCTCAGTAAGCTAAGTTGATATAAAGTCAACTGCTTTTGTGGGAATGCTGAGCAACAATTCACAAGCTTTAATATCTTAGATTAGAAAGCAGAGTTCAGAATTCTCCCACTGGGGGAGAAGAGAGAGGAAAAAGATTGAGGTGAAATAATGGAGGGAGGTTCCTTTTTAAATAGAAATGAAAAGTAAATTTCTGAAATGCACTTCAATCACATATAAAACATTTAAACTGAGTTTTTAGGGAATGTTTTTTTCAGATGAGCTTTTTTTGGGATTAACCTTGTTAATGAGACTACAGTATATTGTTTATTGTGCATCTCTTGCTGACATTCAAGTTACAGTCCTAAATTCTTACACTAATGTAATGGATCCTACCTTCTACAAGATTGCTTATCTATTCAATTTTGGCCTAGTTCATATATTAAAGCATAATACCTGCTACTATATGCTGCATTTACCCACATATATCTATTGGGGGGGGGCGCTAAGTACAGGTTCAGCCATCTTAAATTGGGGCAGTGAGAATTAGTGCAGGTCATTCTTCTTCAACTTAACACTCTCCAGATGAGTTAAGACAGCAGCTCCTAAAATTCCCAGCCAGCACTGCAAACCTAACACATCTGGAGCTATCAAGCTATCAAAGGTTTCAGAAAAATAGGATAGTTAGTAAAGGAGAGGGTAATTCAGTCTGTCTGTGTAATTGGTTGACTTATATCCTGTTTTTTGTTCATTTTTTGTACATGAAATACCCCAAATTCTCTTCCTAACATTTTCAATTAAAATGGACTAGGTATCTTGTGATAGGAACAAACTGTCTTAAAGCTCTGAAGATCATTGCAAATCAAAGAAGCCAATGGTATGTTTGATAGACAAAACAGCTTGATATTGTATAAGGTATTTTTCTAGTTTCACTACCCATATGATCCTGCTGACTACCAAGGCAGCCTTAAGGATCCCCTGTGTTTTCCTACTTCTTCCTAACTCTCTCTTTAATGAATAAGCTCTTTAAGCTGCCGTATTCCTGTTTCCTAAGAAGTGCTGGCATCTGGACAGATTGCATTCCTTTGGACCCTGTGATGGAAAGAATGAGCTCAAAAACAAAGAGTCAAATGCTTAGATTTGTACCCAGAAATCTGATATTCTAAAAAGGGTTTTATAGGTTAGCTGGGTGCTTGGCATTAAATAGGGTAGAAGCTAAATAGGAACACACCACTAACTCATTTGTTTAAGCATCTGTAGGATGACCAAAGGTTTTGGCCACATTTGTTATTTTGATTAATTTAGTTAAAAATAGAAATCTGGATATTTTCCAATTTTATTGTTTATAAAAAACGTTGACAGTTTTGCCCAGGTTTCTAAATTATCTACATAGATAATCCTATTTAATCAGGGGTCAGTTATTAAATACAGTGACATCAGACATGGCTCACCAACTTTTAACTGAGCTGTAATGTCAGGAAGAACTGGAATATGTAAACCACAGATGTGTAGCAAATCAAAGGACGAGTTTTACTTTTGTAACATCTGCTAGAAAACTGACAATTTTGAATAATGCTGGAAATTTTCTGAGAACAGCACGTAGTTGTGGTATTTTAAATGCATAGTTCCTACCATGAAGATCTGTTACTAACAAAACTATTTAAACGTCTGAATAATAGTTAAGAAGAAATATATGCAATGTTAGTGGGAGATTCCATAAATAAGTTTAATGAACATTAAGCCTGGCTTAAGGGTGTAGTTAAAAAAAAGTTACAATTGGATTCTGAGAGGGCTGCTTTGTTGTTTCTTGGGCAGAGAATTCTATAGGTAGGAGGCATCCATTAAGATCAACTTTCTAGGTGCAAACTTCTTATACAAGAGAAGCCCACATATTTCATTAAGCTACAACATGCCTTGTTCAGCTTTATTATGCATTTGCTACATTTACATTCCATTTCATAAACTGAAATAATTTGTGAACTCAACTTTACATTGTGTTTACTTGGCACGCTGAACTGCAAACTAGGCATATTTAACCTCAAGTGTTGTGTGAACACAGCACGTATAGTTATCATGACTTAATGCCATATGGACTCAGAAACCTGGGCTGAATTAATGAATCCCGGTCCGGTTAATTATGGGTAAGCTTATCACAGCTACTGTGGCTTACTCACTTACTAAACCATATCTAAAATAATGGCTGAGCATGATTTGTCAATCCAGTTTTTATTGGCTCTTAATTATATAAGAGATACATAGGAACATATACATTTACCCTGCCCAGATCTATCCATTTGGTTTTATATGGTAGCAATAACGTGAAACATTTATGTACAATCATTACATTGTGAATTGGGCCATAGAAACTGCATTTCTCTTCAATCTCTATGAAGCAAGAGATAGAAGTAGCTTCCGAGCAATGCAAGGATGACAAACATATCCTGTAATGCATTTACTCATTTAGATTGTCCTGCTATTGTCTTCCCGGTCATCCAGCCTTACAATTGCAGATTTGCACTTCAAAAGGTTAGCAAACCTGTTCTATCAGAACTACAGTGGCAAAATATGGTGCTATGCACCATGGTGACTCTACCCTATTCGGCCCCTTTCATAAACTCTGCAGATCTCAGATTGGCATTGCCCCAACCATACCTATGTCTCCACAATGGGCACAATAGGGAACCCAAGAACTAATTAATTGACACCTCAGCATCTGTTCAGATGACAAGCCTACTGAACATGTTTCCAGCAGAATTTGAGGGCAGGTGATTTCCTATTAACAGGAATTCTACCCATTATTTCCCAGGTACTTAAAAGGATGAGTTTGTCACTCTCCCCTACAGTGGCCATTCCCCCAGTTTTTCTTCTTGTGAAAAGCAAACCTGGTAAAGAGGAATGTTGATAGCAGATGGAGTGCCTACTGGCTGCTGCTCTTTCAGCCCTCTTTGGCCAGCTGGAAGGAATACTGGTGATCCTTGAGACAAGAGTACGGTAGAATGACTCTGCTGCCAAATAGGAAAGGAGTGAAAATAGTGGCTGTGTAAGTGCCCTTAATTCCAGCCCTTGGAATAAATAATTAAATGCTTCAGTCAATGCATTAATCAAGAAGTTACCAAAGTTACCAGCTGTGTGTATGATTCAATTTAAACCAAGGAGAAGAGTGAAGAACATAGTTAGCCTCACTCCTTTTGTGAGCTATTTAAAAAGAAATAAGATAAAACAGAAAAATCACATGCTCGTTCAGCAGCTATGATTAATTTATTTATTCACATTTGTAATAGCCATTCAACTCCACTAGGCTCTGGATTTATAATGGTGAATAATAATATTTTTCCAATGATACTCCAAAATTGAACTGGGAAAGGACAAAGTGCATCAGGGAGTAAAAGAAAGTAATCTACAGACTGAATTATAACAATTTCTCATTCAATTCAAATTCACCTTTGGCCACAGAAAACAGTCAACCTTCTTCACAAGGTTGCTGTTATGGGGATCAAATGAAGGACATCACCATTAAGTCATCATAAACTCCTGGAGGAAAGTCAAGATACGAATCTAATAAAGTCAGTCATTCTGTCACGTACACAAAAATACATTACAATATGAAGCACAATCATGACAAACACAAAAATTGCATATCTTCTTTGTCATTCAGGATTCTGCTGGCTGAGTCTACTAGCCAACAGCGGTGTGGACTTGTTTAGATGTATGATACATTTGGAATGCCTGATTTATTTGGTAATAAAGGTGAATCAAGAATCATGCAGACTTCCTCTCTCTTGCAATTAATTGCCTGCTCTTTGTTGCTCCATGAAGAATCTTGATGCTATAAAGAGGGAGCAAGCAAGAGACTTTATTATTTTTTATGGCATCAGTGGAACAGTCTGGCAACCCCAGTTTTACTCCCCAGCCCTTCATTTACACACCTTTATTCTCTATTAACAAACAGCCACAAAGAACATGAGACAATGCATCATTGTGCCAACAATTCTTTCTCTTGCTACTATAAGGATTGGATTCTTCTATAATTTTCTATTATGGAAATGATCCAAGAAGCAGCAGCAATGAGTGAAAAAATTGCAGCAGCTCTTTTAAAAAGGAAAATATGGCCTAGTGTTGAGCTCTGCTCCCAGTGACAGACTTGCAAAGTTTTTGGCAAGAATATGGAAGATGTTTACCATTGCATCCTTCCAGAATGTTTTGATTTGGTTTGTCCTTCCAGACCAGCCAACTGCCCTGAAATTAACTGGTGGCCTCCTGTCCAAGTACTAAACAGGCCCAACCCTGATTCATTTCCCAGCTCAGGCCAAGCCAGGCCAGGCAGCTGCTACTACCATCTGGCTTCAGAGGGAATAAAAAAAATTGCAGTATTTCAATTTACATCATTCCTCACCATGGATTTTGTCTGCTAGAATTCATGAATTGGAGGAGCTTTGATGCAACACACCCAGGTAACTGTAGTGCTAATCATTATTAAGAGACTTAATCATAGATGGTGTGCCAGATGATCTGGCAGAATATTACCGGCAATCTTGGTAGTACTGACTGCCAGGCATTTTTGTTAAAGAAGAAAAGATGCAGGTTATCCTAATTAGAATCATAACCGTTTCATGTGGAGTAGGAGAGGCTAAACCAGGGGTGTGAAACTCACGGCCCGTGGGCTGGATGCGTCATGTGCTGGCCACGCCCACCCCTGGTTTAGGGAAGGGGAAAAGAGTCCCGATACGTCACATGATGATGTGATAACGTGAGTTTGACACCCCTGGGCTAAATCTTTCCTCAGTTGCCTCCCGTACCCCCAGTACCTGTAGGAGATATACTCATATACCCCTTTCTAATATACCTGGGTGATCTAGAAAGTGAAGCAAATTAACATTTAATACACATACTCTCCTTTTCACTTGACATGAGAAGCCATGATTTGGACAAAAATCCATAAGGCAGATCCTGGATTTAGATTATAATTAAAATTCTTCTCTCGCCTCACCATAGAACCATTACTCAATTTGGTTTGTCATAACAGTGTATATGCAGTATTCATGAAGCTCTGGAATAACTGGAAGACCATATATTGCACATCATTGATACAAATACTTGATCAAAAACTGATGCATGAGATAACACAAGGGCAAGTTGCATAAAATCCAGTGGGCTGCACTTGCCTTCAGAAAGCATAAATTTCATTTCCTTATACATAAACTGAATTCTTTTTCTTTTCTGCAGGTGGAGACCAAAGAGACTTCTTGAAGACCTGTTTATCCTTAAACAAAGTGACATCTGGGAGTAACATTGCTCTTTATTTTCTTTGTATGGTGACCCCCCACCCTTTTTTTTTTTACCTAAACTGCCATTGCATGCTATTTGACATTTAGCACTTAAAGCTATTCTTACTAAGACTTCTATTTATTTTTGTGGCTTCAAACCTCATTAGAAAATCAGTCAAAGTGGGCTAAGCCAAATGGTGTTGAGATAACAACAATTTTGACTGTAATTTTGCAGCAAGTTATGAGTTAACCACTAAAGAGTGCATGAGCATTGGGTAGCAGAAAAGTAAACTACAATACCTATAGACTCTATGCAAAGGAAGCCTTTCCTTTATTCACGTGAATATCCCCATATAAATAATAATTTTCTTCTATCTTTTAAGAAAATGCTATTAAACAGCAACTTTTGTGGCACTAGTTGCATGCAGCTTTGGGATGCAAGTCCTTTTATTTTCTAGCTAGTGAGTTCTTGAAAACAAATTACGTATTATAAAAATAAAACATTTTGAATGTATCTTCATCTGGAAATGAAAATCAGACAATACACTTTGTAAGGCTTTCTACAATAGCACCATGATGAAATGAAAGCTTTTTTTTTTTTTTTTTTTTTTTTCAGGAATGATCTGCAAATGGAATGGATGATGATGTGGCTGAAATAATTCAATCAGACCATTGGTTTCATTTTTCTCTGTTAAGTACACTAGAAATGTCCTCTCCTCAAAGCCATGGACCCCAGGATTTCCCAGGATTCCCTAAGGAAATGATTAAGTTGTACAGAATATAATATTAACTGCATTAAATGAATTTGTAGTCAACTTTCGAGAACGTGTTCCCTTCCCCCACCTAGCATATTATTTAAAGGGCAACTGTTGCACTGATTCCAAAAAATGTTGTGCATCTTTTTTCTACAATTAATGATAGATTTTTTTCCAGACCTTTCTGAATATGCCTGCAATTAAATTAAATGTGGAACTTTCTGCAGATAAATGGCAGATGCTGTACCACTGAACTTAAAAATAGTCTTGACTCTTATGAGAACAGAGCATTTGTATTGTCTTAATCTGACATTAGGATATATTGCATTGTATGAATTCAGCCATGCCATGGTCCTGATCTTAATTGTCCTCCAATTGTTCCTTTTTAAAAGAAAGACATTGACCAATATTCAGCCACAAACCTTCAGCACAACTCTTTGATCTTCATCCTTATATTAGGTGGATCCTTCACTCACGTTGACGTAAGAAAAAGTATGAAGTCATTTAACCTTGAGTTATAACTATCAGTTAAAGCAATTAAATCCAAAGGGTGAGTTAATGGGCAGCATCAAACATCCTGAGAAACATCTGGTATAATAAAAGTCTGCATTTTCACTTAATGAATAATTGATTCACATTCTTTGAAGCAAGGTTAGCTCACAAGTGGAGATAGGATATTGGCATCCCTCCGAATATTGAGCATTCTTTCTCTCTGTTCTTTCCTACCTTCATAGCCCTCTGAAGGGAGACAAATTTAGGTTAAGTATAAAGTCAGAAGCAGGAAAAAAAAGCTGCCTTATTGCATTGGAATAAAATCTAAAAGTAAGTTGCTGATAATTGGTCAGTTCAGTTCAGTACTGTCAACATGGAGTCTTACAAAGACTTACAATAGAGTCTTTCCTGACCTGATTTAAAGGTTTCTATGGATATTTTCAGGCATACAGGTCATGATTGTCCCAAAGATGCTTTTTTTCAAGAGGCAATTGGACTGTCTTTGTTTTTCCTTGAAGACATTTCGCTTCTTACCCAAGAAGCCTCAGAACTGAAGAAGCTTCTTGGATGATAAGTGAAACATCTTCAAGGAAAAACAAAGAAAGCCCAGTTGCCGCTTGAAAAAAGCACCTTTGGATTTAAAGGTGGTGAAAATTTGGACTAGAATTGTCTACACATATAGTCTATGCAGCAATGCTGAGCTACAGTCTTTACAAGAGCAAGTGCTGCCACTTCCATCTTTGTGTTTTAAAATACAGTCACCTACATGCATACTTGAAAGGCAAATCAACACGCCTGACTTTATTGAATGAGACTAGGTTCTGGTTTGATCCTAAATTTTTGAGGGTGTTTCAAGGTGGAAAGAAGACAATGACTATAGGTGAGATGCATACACAGTGGGAATATGTTTCTTCTACTTAGTTGGCAGTTAATTTGGACTGTGCACAAGGAATTTCTTTGTCCCACAATGCATAATCAACTCAAGAAAATCATAAATGTAGAATCAGCAGCATATGGCTTTAAAGAAAGGGTTTTAAAAAATTAAAAGCCATAGCATCCTATATGACTGATTAATGACTATATGGAACTGTCTTTTTCAAAGCAGATTTTTAGTCCATAACATTCACTGGATGGGTTTCTCAGGAGCATCTGTATGGCTAGGAGAGAGGATGCTACACTAGGTGCATCTCTGGTCCAGTAGAGTTTTCTCTGGTCCATGTTACTATACAGATTTCAGGGAGGAATGTGGATTGGTTGGCTTTGAAATCAGCAGAGGCAAAAGCCTCTGAACAGTGCTAGAAATGGCTACAATTTTATTTTAAGTAGAGTTGTTGATGCACTCTGGCTACTGAATGCCAGATCACGCTCATGACTCAAATCACGGAGCATAATGAACTGGGCAGAATCTTTGGCTGCCAGCCGTTGATGTGAATGAGGAGATTCTGTAATGCACTGAAAGGAAACTAGTAAATATTGACAGGAAGTGACTCAGGGATTCACTGAGACAATAAAGAAATAATTTGTCCAAAGTCTGGAAAAGCTGACAGCGAAGGCTAAGCTTAAACCGTTTGCTTTGTTTTAAAACAAATCTGTCCCATTATATCAGATGAGGCACTAACCTTGTCATCCCTAGGATGCCATGGGACTTGATAATCTGAGAGGCACACATGAGCATTCACACATGAGATTCTGATTTACTGTGATATAATTAGGCAGCATCCACACTGACTCGCTCTGCCCATTGAGAAAAATACAAAAACTAGATATGTTTCTAAGTTATCTTTACAGAAATCTTCATTTGCCAGAACGGTCTGTATGATTGTGACTAGAACAAGAATGAGCTCTCCCCCTTTACTTGACCAACTAAGATAGTTCTAAGAATGATGTACTGTATGTTCCCCAAAACATACTGGAAAAACTCTGAAGTGATGCATATTTTATCAATGGTCAGAATTGCCTCTCCCTCCTGTATTCTAAAGAGAGTGGTATAAATTATGCGACAAAAACAGCTACATTCATGCAAAGTACAAAGCTGGGAAAACCCTGGGTTTTGCAAAAATACAGATAGAATTAAGAAAATAAAAGTCTGGAGGGGGTGTAAGGTGTTTCCTAAAACTAATCTAACTGGATGTTAGCTATATATTATACGAGATCAAACAGAATGGTGTTGCATGTAATAGGACAGTTCCACACAGCAATATTTTGTTGCATGTTCCAACTGTGCTTTATAAGGTTCCTACATAGAGGTGGACAATGTGAAGCCCTCCATCCCAAAATCTTTATGACTCTTGGAGAATATTTTTGATCATGGCTGC